AACATACACACACACACACACACACTCCCACACACCCTCTCACACACACACACACACACACACACACACACACACACACACACACACACACACACCTGGCAGTAGTCTCTGAAGTTGTTTTTTGAAATTTAGAATCCTGCTACAAATGAGATACTGTCCTCAAGCAGCAACAATGAACACAGAGGGTAAGCTCAGGGTGACAACAGAGTTGAGCCTGTGACACCCTTCCTGTAGCCAGCTCTTCTTCCAAGGCAAGCTTCCTGTGTTAGGTCAGCACCCAGCTCCCAAATGCAGCAAGCCTGAGTCTGCCAGACTCCTCCTGGGTATTGCAGTCTTGTACTTTTATATAAGAAGCCTGGGTGTGGTACAGGCAGCCACTACACAATCTGCATGGCTGGCTTTTGAATCTCAATTCAGGATATTTTGTTTTGATGAAATACCATCAAAATAATGCATATATACTTATCCCATCTGGGTGAGGAAGGAGACATTGTTTCCTCCCTGGCAGGTAGAGAAAAATGCTAGTACCCCATTGATTTTATAATTGAATTTAAATTTTTTTTTATGTATAGGTACTTTGCCTGCCAGTATGTCTGTGCACCACTTGCATATCTGGTGAAGGCATTGGATCCTCTGGAACTGGAGCTATAGAAGATTGATAGTCTCTGTGTGGGTGGTGCTGGGAATCAAACACGGGTCCTCTGAAAGAGCAGCTGGGGCTTTTAACCACTGGGCCGTCTTTAGCTCCTGATCTTGAGATTTAAATTTCAGTGTTCCTGAATGGAATGGAAAGGTTTAGAAAAATGTGATGTTAAAAACAGAAATCCCCAGACATAGCAGAGAAATTCAGGAAAGTAAAAATGGCTAAGCAGCTGGTTGTGAACCTCTAGAGTTCTGTGGTGTTATAGAACCCTGTGCTTGAAACAATTCCCAGGTCTGTTTGTCTGGGCCTGTTTTCTTGGTCAGTTGAGTGGGGAGGGGAGTGAGGGTTGTTGAGCTAGGGTTCTCAGTGCATGGAGTCAGTTGGAGTGTGCAGAGTAGGAGGGGCCCAGTGAGGATGAAAGGCTTCAAGTTGTTCCCAGGTCATTGCTGTGCATGAATCCTGGCTCCATGATGGACATGGAATTGCCTGACTACAGCCTTTTGAGTCTTGTACACACGTGGATTCTGGGCTGTGTCTTCACCATGTGCTCCTCCTCCATGGCCCACCTTCCCTCCTGATCTCAAGGCCATGTCCTGCTGAACTCTCAGTTCTGGCTATGGATGCAGGTCCACTGTAGGATGCAGAGGCCTCAGCAACCTCAAGTCAATAAAATCCTTCACCTTCCAGAGCATGTCTTATAGAAATAATAGTACTGCCATGGCTGCAGCTAGCACTGGTTGTGATGGCAGTGATGGTAAATATGATGATGGGATACATAGTTACAGTAGTTTGGATATTGCATATCTCCCAAAGGTCCACGTGATAAATACTTGCTCCCAGAAGGTGCCATTGGGATGTGGTCTTTAGGTGGTTGGGGATGTGCCTTTGAAGAGAATAGTAGAAGCCCTGCCCCTTCATTTTCTCCTATCCTTTGCTCTCTGGCCGTGAATAGTGATTTGACTTGGCCATGGCCTTCTGTTGTGATGGCTTTAGGACCAAAGCAATAGAGCCAGCTGAATGTGGACTGAAACCTCTTAAGTCTTGTGCCAAAATAAATAAGCCTTTGTACTTATTCTTTCTAGGGTGATTGTCTCAGCTGTTTGTTGGTGATGAAGAGTTAACATGGGATTTTCTTTCTTTTCTTTTCTTTTTTGTTTTGTTTTTCAAGACAGGGTTTCTCTGTACAGCTTTTGAGCCTGCCCTGGAACTCAACTTTGTAGACCAAGCTGGTCTCGAACTCACAGAGACCTGCTTGCCTCTGACTCCCGAGTGCTGGGATCAAAGGCATCTGCCGCCACCACCCAGCCAACATGGGATTTTTATTCTAGGTAGAAATTCATTCTACTGGACTTGCTTTCCTAGAAGTATTTTTGTTGTTGGTGGTGGTTGCTTTAGGGATGTTTGTTTAGTAATTTTTTGTGAGATTTCCCCGTAGAAAGTTATGTTATTTTCAAGAAGAGGGAGTTTGGTTTCTTCCTTTCCCAGAAAATGGTGTTAGTAGTGATGGTGGTGGTGGTGGTTATCATGACTGTAGCGGTGGTATTGGTGATGATGTTGGTGGTAGCAGTGGTGATGGTAACTATAGTGATGGTGGTGGTGATGGTGACTGTG